GGTGGGGAACAGAAGAGTGGTTTACAGTTGTAAAAGAGACAGATACAAAGGTAGAGAAAAGGTAAGATGGGCACTGTGGAAGCTGGTGAATATGGCATACAGTGGGGGTGATGGTAGTTTGAAGTGAGAAGTCAACTGCCGGTTAATAGACTTTTTGCCGTATGAGTATACGTTGCCCGGGGTGTACCACGTGGAGGTAAGTCTATCGCACACCCCCTGTTGCAATGTTATATGATGTTAAAACCCATATTTATGATTTGGTACCTTGTGCCACAAAGTTACATGCTTATTTCCTGTCATTAGCTATCAATGTGAATTATTAATCGGGACTTGGCAATGTTGAGCCATGTTCTCCTGTTTCCCACGATGTTTGTCGGCTATTAACCAGCAAATGTCAACTTGGTTCCTTCGGTATTTCTTGCAATCATGAGAATGAAACCGAAAATGACATTTCAACTTAATGCGGCTCGATAATTTTAACTATCTTAGTTTATACATTTATGCACTTAGGAAAGTGGATCATTGCTGTATATTTGCTCTACTCTTGCTGACTTAAGTGATTAAATTTAATCTATCCGTCCTTAAACGACCCTTTGTCATTTTTTTTATCGAAGCAAAGCTAATTATATTCGTAACCCGTTATCAAAAGGTGGAAAATAAGTTTTAAAACTGAAGGTAGCACCACATTGCACTTAGCTGCGGTTATTGATTTAGGTTTAAATGACGCGCGGGTGAAAGCTTTTTTTATCATAACATAAAAAGAAGGAGTCAGAGAGCCAATTTTTCATCATGTTAAGAGCTATTTTTTTGAAGGGGTTAGGGTAGCTGCACTCACAATGCAAAGCGATTTCATTGGTTGATGAGTCTGTCAATGAGCGTAATTTAATATATTTGATTCCACCGAGACCACCATCATCAGGAGAACACGATTTGCTCGCATTGCTTTATCTACTGACCGTAAATTATCACGTCTCTTCACTAAAACAAAATCAGAATTCGCAACAAATATATTTCAGAAGGAGTTTTAATACCAGACTTGCTTATCTACGCCAAGTTTCGAAATTTTTATTTTTTAATTAGGAAGAGCTCCGACTAATGGCTGCAGGTAGGCTTCATATTTGTTTTATCAAAGTAAACATTAATCAAAGTTAATATTTTTTTACTGAAATTAATGTCAATAAGCTAATTTTTGACAATTTTTTTGCTCCTTCATATTCAATTTTGTTGCCAAAATAATTTATGAGTGCTGAAAGAAAGTTGAGTATCTGTCCTATTCTTTACTATTTAATTATTATAATCACTGCTTATATTGCATTACTTTTGAAATCATTCCCAATTTGTTTATCTCTGCATGACTTTAACGGTAGAGAGTTTTTCATTTCAACTGTAGTAATCAAAATCGATGCGACACAAAAGTTTAAAAATGAAACTAAGCAAAAAATGTAGTCGATTTTATTTGAATTTATACATTTTTTACAGAAGTTCGTGAGGAAAACATTAAATAAACCAATTTTGAAAATGAAAAGCTTTGAAAAGCGTTATTTTAGCGTTTGAAATTTACTTATCTTGATTTACAATTCATAAATTCTATTTTCCACATCTAATTTGTAGCTGTTGATCGCGAATTGGCGGATTATAAAGTAAGTCAAACTCCATCGATCATAGTAATTTCTAAAGCGAATAATAATATGCAAGCACGCAATTATTGATTCGACAATTTCTCATAAAGTCACATCTTGGTGAATAATCGCCAGTTTTTCTGAAATTTCAAAAAATGAGTCACGTATTTCGACACTTAGTTCTCTTTTAACGTAATTTGGAAACTAGCACCCTTCATAGGGATGTCAAAGAGGGGCTTACCTAAGAGTTTACTCACTTATTATAATTTACTAGTCGATTATCGAATGCGAATGTGAGCTCATTTTCTCAATGTCTTCATTGGTTAATAACATCTCGATAGGATTAGCCATATTGCCAGATTGTTTTCAATACAGCCGAGTTCCTTGAAGTCTTTCGAGGTTAACTCAAATAGCCGATTTGTGATCTTTCTTCAATTAGCCGAAATTTTGGCCTATACTTCTCTATTTCAGACTTGTTGGTAATATTTCTACTGTTGGTATTAACTAATAAACCACTCTCAGTATTTTGACTACCGACTCTTTGATCTCAAAAGTAGCGTTTCAGGCGCTATCGATGGTTAATTAATTAGCTACTCAGAACCAAAGTTGGCGTAGACTCAAAGAGGCGAAAATTGAAGATCAGAAAATTCTCAAAGTTTTGGCATCAACCTTTTGTCATAAATCGAGAGAAAGGGCATATGTAGCTACTTGATTCCATGTGAACCTTGATGCCGCCGATAGCAAAAACTGCTGTATGATTCAGCTCCTCTGTCAGAAAGCATACTTTTACACATGTGTTGACATTCCAATCGCGTGCAATGAACTTGGCATTCTACCAACAGAAGTGTGAGATGTGACGTTGAAAATTTTGAATCATTTTCAAATTTTGCCAATTCCCCGATGTGTCTAGCACTTTAAGTTTAAGAGGAAAAATAGAATTTCCTTAGCAGAGAAACTCCTTTGATAAGTTAAGAGCATTTATTATTTAACCCTCTCAAGGTTTTAGTCCTTTGTTCTAAGCGCATTTTCAAAAGAATTTAACTATTTTTTGATGCTTCTAATAAAACTGTGGCACAGGTCGACAACTGTCCACATTGGCATGGATACCTTTTGACATAAAAGCAAGATTGCATTTTTCTTCTAACTCAATAGCAAGTTGCGAGCGATCTTCGCGTTGGAGTAAATCATTTGGCACTAGATGAGGAGAGACTTCGACAGGAACAATTTCTCCAAGGACTTGTCGATCTTCAACATCGTATTTTTGAGGCAAGTTTCTAACTTTAGTCACGTTTTTTCTCAATTTCATTATCGAGGAATAATTCATAACGGAAATTAAGCAGTAATTTTACTCCAATATTGACTCAGACACACACACACAAGTGGCTTAATAATATGATGAAAAATAGCACCACATAATATTTTTTTAAATTTTATTATTTGTTTCTCAATTTTTATGCACTTATATAGAATGAGAATTTGAAGCAACTCTACAGTGACGAAGTTGAAGACTTGAAGAATGGAATTCGATTGAATGCCGACGTTCTTTCTTACTTGAAAAGTGTCACCAAATTGGAAGGTCCACTTACTGTGAGTGATTGATGGAGGCATCCTCTTCATCACCGGCTTTTTTAATTTTGAGTTTTTTTAATTAATTAATATTTATGATAATGGGCTCGCACCAGTATCATTTAACAAATTTTACTATTAATATTGGGCTCTTTGCTCGTTACCAAACTATTTATTTATATCAAATGGCAGGCGTCTTGATGGTTATCATTAGCCCTTTAGTTGACTTCAGGGTTCACAGAGGGGACGGAACATCAAAGTGAAAAATTCGAGAGGGGGAACAGAAGAGTGTTTCAAAGATGTAAGAGAAAAAAACACAAAGGTAGAACAAATGTGAGGTGAATACTGTGAAAATAGTCGAATATGGCATAGA